TAAATACCAAGAATATAAAAATAAATAAAAATTCAGTACATTTTTTATATTTTTATGTATTTATTAATTTTTAAAAATATTTTTTTGTAAATTTTTTACTTTTTAAATACATCTAAGTAAGATGCATCTAAAAAAATAAAAAAAATATTTAAAATTTTAAAACTATTCACTAAAAACAAAAAAAATGTAAAAAATAATAAAACTCAATTTCTAAAAAATTAAATACAGAAAATTGAAATCAAACACACTAGATAGTATCCCGTTAGTGGTGGTTGGGCCCACTTATTTTATTTTTTACACACTCAAATAGTTTAATTAATTTAAACACATATTTTAACAACATTCTTAAGAAAAAAAAATTGTAACATCCCTGTTTTTGAATATTTTAAGCTAAATTAATATAAAATAGTTAAATTGATACTTGGAAAATAATATTTTTATAAGCGTAGGTGTTAAAATGTAATTTAATTTATAATTAGGGATCATTAATAATAATAATAATATAAATAAATAAATATATGGATAATATATCTAATTACATAATTATACATGCTAAGGATGTAATTGAATTTGGCATTGGGTTATCAAAAGTGTGATTAATATATTGCTTGAGGCCAAAATAACACAACTACAAAATTATGATAAAAGTGGGGCTACAAAGGAAATATGAGAAAGGTGGACAATTCGTTGGTAAACTAAGGGAAAAGCCACCTGTTATGCCTAGTATGTAGAGGGAGTGAATCATTCATAAGGATGATAATTTAGGGTGAGTCACTGTGTGAAGCTCAAGTATATAAGGGAATTGGAACAGCGAACTAAGGCAAAAAAAGGTAAATCAACGGAAATAATAGTAAAGTAGAGGAGGCTCGGAGAGATCGGAGAAAATAGGAATTGATATTAAGATGAGTTTTATTATATTTTGAGCTATCTTAACTTGTTTTATGTAAAATTAAAAAAAAAAAATATAACTCCAAGACCAAAACATCACATCATTAATGGCGGGACCCACTGCCACCTAATTAGTGCTCCCAAGCATTTTTCTTTTAAATATAGGTAAAATTAATATTAAATTTGATAGAAATAATAAAGGTATAATTTAGTCATTCAAATAATTTATTGTTTGAGATGAAAAAAATGAACTTTACATTATTTTATAAGAATGGCAGTTCTAATACTTTGCCATTAAAGTTACTCTAATGTGAGTAAAGTCTGGTATACTATATATTTTATAATAATAACTGTTTCAATACTTTATGTTGAAATTATTTTAATGTGAGTAAGGTCTATTATAATATAAAGTATACTACGTAACTATGCAGGTTGGATCAAATTACGGCAGGTTGAAAAATTACAAATCACACCCAACTCAACCCACCTATTTTCATCTTACAACTTGCCAAACCCAGCCCATTACCTCTCTCAACTTACGGGTACCGATTGAGTCGGGTGGATTGGCAAGTAAATTGTAGACTCCATACATTTTTGGGAGATTTACGGGCCAATCCTATTGACCAAATTTATCTACCTGTAAGTCCTGCTCATTTTTTCACCTCTCAATATTCCTAAGATATCCTTCCTACACCTCCTTCAAACCGCCGGTGATAACCTCTAGTGCTCACTACTGTCATTATTTCCTAAGATATGATGGCAACAGGAGAAGAAGAAAACGAAGAAGAAGAATGAAAGAGAGAGAAAGAGAGAGAGAGAGAAGATAAAGAGGAAAAGAAAAAGGAAATGTCTTAATAGAAAATTGTTAGCTTTCTATCGTAAATCAACATAACCATGCCTTTACAATCTGCTCTTTGTCCTCTTTCCAGTGATAAATTTATCACTGATAGATTGACTCATCCAACATATTCTCATCTACAATGACAAATCAGTGATAAATTCATCACTGTATAAATATAAAAAATCAGCAACAATATACAACATATTCAACAAATCAATGATAAATTTATCACTAATAGATTAATCATACTACATATTTATCTCTCTCTAGTGAAAAAAATGACAAATTTATCACTAACTATTCGTTAAAAAATTACAAAAAGAAAATCTCATCATTATCATCACAACTTAACACGAGATTCAAATATATATTCAGTAATAAATTTAGCAATGATAAACACATTCATTGATAAATTTCTCACTAGTTGTTTGTTAAAAGATTACAATAAATAAATAAATAAAATCTCGTCATCATCTTTACAAATCAACACAAGATTCAAAGAAATATATCAGTGATACATTTATCACTGATACATCAAATTTGGTTTAAGAGAAATAAAAAAAGAAAGAGAAAGAGTGAGGAAAAGAGAGATGATAAATATAAGATGAACAAAAATCAGTAATAAATTTATCAATGTATTAATATCAGAATTCCAACAGCAACAATCCACAACATATTAAACAAATCAGTGATAAATTTATTACTAAATTAAGTGATAAATTCATCAGATGAGTTCAACATGTTTTACAAATGTAGCTCTTCACCAATACACTGTAGAAAAAGTCTCAATCTTATTGGCGACCATGTAAAGTACCAGATTGTCGCCGAAGATGGTAGATCGACATTGAAAACAATTAGATTTGAAACCATTGGTGAAGTTTAACGTTGAAGATAGTGGATCGATGATTGAAGAAGAACAATGGTGATGACAGATGAAAGATGGAGGATGGAGAAAGAGCGGCGGTAATGACAAAGAGGAAGAAAGACGACAATGTTAGGTGAGCGAGTCAAACGGTTGAGAGATGGTGAAGTATAGATCAGTGATGGCGGAGATGGTTAGTGAACAATGGTGGTGGTAGTGGCTGGCAAAAGTGGCGGTGGTGACCAGTGGAGGTGGTAGTGGTTAGTGACGGACGACGATGGTAGTTGTGGGTGGACGGCCATGGTCATGGCCATAGCTACAATGGTGGTATTTTCTAGAGAGAGAGAGAGATGAGAAAGAAGAGAAGTTTTGGAAAAATGAGCAAGAGAGAAGTTAATACAAATTGAAAAAATTAATGAGTAATAAATATTATAAACAATTAAAGATTTAGAAAGTGTTTGAGATGATTTAAATAGAGATTTTTACTAGCTGGTAGTAGGGGTAAAATCGGGGATAAAAAAATATAACAGAACTTCTTAGTGTATGAGATAGAAATTTAGAACCTAATGGGTAATATATTCAATTATTTGGACCGGCCCTATATTCTTTAGAATTGCATGATGTAATATGGGCTCAATTGGTTCTGTTGTTTTTGGTGGGCCGCCCAGCCCAAACACAAGGGTTAGTCTAAAATTCAATTTGCACAACTTGGCTCATCTGCAATAAACTTTGCTGTTGAATGCACTGCCTAAAATGCCCAATATTTGGCCTCCGAGGTAATGAGTTGGGAGAAAATGACTCAACTGGGATCCAAGCTTCTAGGCATGCAGTTTTCTATAAATTAAAATTGACAATAAGAAGGTAGAATTAAAAAAACATTTCATTCTAAAGTTTTAAATAATAATATTTATTTATTTATTTTTAAACAATAAGCGACAACTGCACTAATATAATCTGACGTTTTTTCCAAAAAAAAAAAAATATATTAATAATAATTTCTTGATATGGGATTTCTCTATAAAGGCATCATGATTTTATAAAGGTCTCGCTTTGCTTTTTGGATGGTATAAGAGGGGATTGGACTGTATCCTGTCCGTAATCGAAATGAATTGTCCAGTCTTACCTAGGGGGTATACTTTTGTGTTCCGTTTTGATAATTCAAACTATTCATATTTTACAGTTTGTCAAGTTTATCATCTTTATATATATAAAAAAAAAAATCAAGTAGATTGGATAACAGAAAGCACGTGTTGGAATCAATTTTGTGCAAGTTTATTCTCTTACCGTCTATTTTTTTCATACAAAACTGATTTAAACATATGATTTCTGTTATCTGACAAACTTAATTTTTTACAGAGGTAATGTACTCAATAAATTCTAAAAAGTGAATGGTTCAAATCATTGAAATGGGAACTAAAAGTGGGCCCATAAAGCCCAACAGTACCTCTCAATTTTTATGAAGGACGGGACACAAGCCATATCCGTACAAGAAGAGTGTTATGCCTTTTTGAAATGGAACTTGAGATTATGAATTTCAATGGTTACAGAGAAAATATTTAAATGTTAAGGTAAGTAAAGTTTTAAATTTAAGTTTATGAAAAAATATTGGTCTGTATTGTAATTTGACTACGAACATAATAACGTCCCTCTTTAAAAAAAATGTGGAACTTGAATTTATGCAATGGTGTAGTTCATTAATTTGAAAACAAATCTGAAAAATGAAATATATGATGCAGAATGAAATTTAGTAGGTTACGCTTAAAATAAAATAAAAAATTAATCCACATAGCTCAGTTTTTAGGGTGTGTTGTATTGCTAGGATTCCCAGTCACCAAACAGAGTGCGCCATGGTAAACTACACAGAATAAGCCAGTAGAGTTGGGCCACATCAGAAGCTACCATGTGCCTGGAACATGACTGTCACTTTTAACTAGTAAGTTGAGTGCGACGCGGTATGTCATATTTAGTGTAACATCTAACAAGTTAAAGTTAATAATTAAAAAATGCAAAATTAAAAATACTTTTGTTTTCATATTTTTCAATAATTAATTTTTTCTAGCTCAACTGGCTATGTTCCACATGGAGAGAGAATAAAGTCAACATCCACATATGAAGTAGTAAAAGTCGGTGGCAATTTTACAAGATCACTATGAAGCTTTAACCTTATTCTCAAAGTAGTAATCTAATATATAAGCCATTTTGCAATTCAAATGAATGCAATGCCATAAAAAGTCCATAAGAATCATGTGCAGACATTGAATATGCACTATCAGTTCAGTGTCTGGCTGCTAAGTTAAATAGGGAAAATAATTCATTTTCATCTCGTGCATTTTATAATTTAACAATGTTGTGTATTTAAAAAAGTGTGTAGAATATCACATTTATTCCGAATGTGGTCCCATAACAAGCCGCTTAAATATATACTGTAGAGTTCAAACTTTTGAATACTTTCCTTATAATTTTTCTAGGTACATAACATTCTATTTATAATTTGGAAGTATTCAAAAAGAAAAAAGAAAAACATAAAAAATCTGACAGATTCATAGAACCTCACAATTCTTTTATGCCTTTCTTACTTGGCACCATCTCTGCTTTAAAGGATACTTTGCCCTTCCTCTCCCTTCACCAAGCTCAGCTCCCCATAAAAATCCACAGGAGAGAGAGAGAGAGTAAAATGGCAACAAATCTTCCATCATGTAACCATGCAGATGATGACTGCATAGATATGGAAGTAAGCTCTTTTTCAAGTTTCTTCGGTTCTCCCCCTCAAACCAGAGAATTTGAGTTCCAAATGTCTTCTGCTCCCAATGATCAGAGAGAACCAACAACTTCCCCAGCTGATGAACTCTTCTACAAAGGAAAACTCCTTCCACTTCACCTCCCTCCGCGCTTACAAATGGTTCAAAAACTCCTCCAAAATTCCAACCCTACCTTCGAAAACACAGACCCCGCCTTAGTAAAAGCCTCGCACACTAAGTCGCCCTTTTTAACCTTTGAGAACACAAAAGATGCCTTTGACAACACAAACCCCGCTTTAGCAGAAGCCTTGCATACTGAGTCGCCTTTTTTAACCTTTGACAACACAAAAGAGGCCTTCGAAGATGAACACTATAGTCTTCCCTCCATCACCAACTCTACAACACCTTCTACTAATACCAGCACCCCATTGGATCAATCATGCAATATATCACTATCAGAGTCTTGCCGGGTGAGTTGTGAGCTAAACCCGGATGACCATTTCTTTGAATGGTCCGCCGAATCGAATGGTTTCATTGCTGATGACACAAAGACGACATGGTCTAAGAAGCTCAAGCTGGTTAAGCCATCCTTACTTGTTCAAAAGCTCAAGGCTTCACGGGCATGCCTGAAGTCTCTCTTTAGCAAGACCGCTCTTTCAGATGAGTCCTCCGCCAAGGCAGCCTACAATGCAGAAGCTGGACATGTTTCAGAAGGTAAGAAGTGTGTGAATAAGTACATGAAAGTAGCAAAGAACAGCTCATTTGGGAAAATTAGAACAACAACATATCCAACACTGGGTAATGACATGAAGAGCATTGACAAAAGAATGATTGAGAATGGTGTTATTACCCATAGGAAGTCATTTTCAGGGGCAATCAAATGCCCTTGTGCAACAAAGTCTTTGTCTTCATCTTCGTCTTCAACCTCATCTGGTGCTTCTTCTTTGTCGTCATCATTTTCCATTAGTTCGAGTGGGTTGTATGAGTTACAGTGTCTCAAGAGGAGCAATAGCATGAATTTGGAGATTGAGAGTTCGATTGAGAGCGCAATTGCGCACTGTAAACAATCTCAACAGCTGTTGAGTTCAAGTAAGTCAGCAAGTGAAGTTGGCCTCTGATCACTGTCTGCTTCAAGGATTGCAGATTCTGGAGAAAAAGAAAGATGATGCTACTGCAAAAGAAAAAAAAAAAAGTCTTCTAAGAGAGAAATAGAGAGATGATCATAATGTTTACCCATTACCTTTTTTCTTTTTTATTTTGTAATTAGTGTCATTAATTCCGTGTTGTTTTGGGCAATTCCATATGCATGGTTCTACTTCACACTGTTAGACCAAATTATCTTTGTATTATTACTGTCTAGACATACACATTGAAAAATCTGTTGACATTTGAGAGTTATTTATTCATTAGAGAATGGCAAAAAAGAATTCACAGCCGATCCCATCTCATCAGGACACATGGCTTAGTTTGGTTATAACTCATCAGATAAATCTGATGTTCCAAATTAGGCTTATGCTCTCTCTCTCTCTCTCTCTGGTGTTTCTCTTCTATCCTTGCAGTAGCAAAGCTATGTTCTACACACAGACACTATGACAACCTCCACCACTAATGAATTTAAATAGAATCTGTAATGCAGACATGACTTCCTTTAATGCTTCTTTCAGTGACAGCATTACTGCAAAACAACTACAAAACCTTTACTTCAATGATACTTATTGACATTCATGCTAAAAGAAAAAAGAGACTGTTCAGTGTGTGTGTGTGTGTGTGTGTGTGAGAGAGAGAGAGAGAGAGAGAGAGAGAGAGAGAGAGATTCTACACACAGACACTATGACAACCTCCACCACTAATGAATTTAAATAGAATCTGTTATGCAGACATGACTTCCTTTAATGCTTCTTTCAGTGACAGTATTACTGCAAAACAACTACAAAACCTTTACTTCAATGATACTTATTGACATTCATGCTAAAAGAAAAAAGAGACTGTTCAGTGTGTATGTGTGTGTGTGTGTGAGAGAGAGAGAGAGAGAGAGAGATTACAGAAAGAATTCAGGCTGAAAAAGAAATACAACTTTCACACACATCAAGGGAGTCACTTTTACCTTTCAGGAAAGTCACTTTTATCTTTCTAATCTGAGTATTGTAAAGCTTGGGTGTTTTATAGACGGTAGTTTCCAGAGTGTACTTTTCCCCTTGCATGGATTCTATTATGTAACTGTTTTCAGCCTATACCCATCTTCCATAAGAGAGGACTATTTTGTTCTAGTCCATGAAAGTGAGGATATATAATCTAATAACCTCCTTTCTGTTTAGGAAAGAAAAGTAGAAATTCATTGAAGGAATCTTCCACAATTTAAAGGTCAAATCGTAGTTTCGAGGAATAACTAAAAATTCTTGAGAAACTATTAAAAAAATAACTCAGTGTATGAGATCCTGTTAAAATGAAGTCTGGAGAAGATAAGATATATGCAACCTTGCCCTCATATTTAGTAAGACTGATTTATCAGAGAAATTAACAGCAAGTCTTACTATTCGGTCAAACCGCCAATAAATTCTTGAGAATGTTACCAAGAAAATTTAAGTTTGAGGAATACTTTTAAATCTATCTTTCTTTCAAAGATGATATACAAAAAGATTTCATTTAAAGAAATTAGTCAATTATAAATTGTTTACTAATCTATTAAATATAGCATGTTATTATCAAGCTTACCAAAGAATTACAGTTTTGCTAGCTATTTAAACACAAAAGCCCCAGCTATTGGGTTACCTGAAAGTGTTCAAAATGTAAGTAACAAACATACACGCACAAAAATAATATAAAATAAAAGAATTGTTCTGGAGAAAGTAATGCCACACCTAAACTAGCAAGAATAAAAAAATCAATGAAACTAGTTTCATATTCGGACAAATCCCTTTACATGTTTCTGTTTTCTATTTTCGGATTTTGATCAAATTAACCTAAGAAAACATGCTATACAGATTTTGGAGACATCTACTGTGAGAAAATATCAGCAAAGTCAATAAATAATCTACAGCAGTCAGCAAATTTTCATGATAGTTCTGCATACAGACAGGTTCATGATATATATTATATATTTTTTTTAATTTTTTTGCTTAAGCTAATTACATAGTGAGTGATAAAAATCCATTGGTCCCATTGCTTTATTGCATAATAAATTTGATAGTACAAAGGTATTTACCCACCATATACCAATTTGACCATTCAAAAGAATGATGTTGCATGTCCTTCTAAGCTGAAAAAAGATATTTGTGCATGTGGTTATCGTCAGGATTCAGGAGAGAGAGTGAGAGATAAAATAAAAGAACGAAAAATAAAAAAGAAGAAGAAGAAGCAAGTCATTATATCATGCAGGTAAAAAATATTGGACTAAATGCTTCTGTAACTAACTTTTCATCTTCTTATACTTCATCCTAATCAATCTCTCTCTCTCTCTCTCTCTCTCTCTCTCTCTCTCTCTCAGCTTCCTCCAAAATTAGGAACTCAGCTTCCTCCAAAATTAGGAACCAACCAATTAATTGTTGGACGGGAATACAATCAAGTCCTACCGTTCTCAAAATTTTCCAGATTCAAACATATTTCAAACATTTGAAATACATGTGTATATTACTTAGACACATATGAAATAAGAATGAATTTTTCTCTAGCTCATTTTGTGAACTAAACTGTATTGTTAGGTTTGTGGAGGTCCACTATCGATCACATCTTAATGATCCGAACCGTTCGATATGTAGAGCTCACTAGGTACTTCATCCGTGCAAAAAATCATGTTAATCGAATATTGATAGCCCCTTGATCGGAACACATTTTTGTTAACAAATTATTTTTAAAATCAAATTTGCCATTGACAAAAATGTGTTCCAATCAAGAGCCTATCGATAGCCGACCAACGTAATTTTTTGCAGGCATAAAATGCTCGACAAACTTTACACATTGAACGGTTTGGATCATTGAAACGAAACCTATGGCAAGCCTCACGAACCCAACGATATGGTCCAGTTCACAAAATAAACTGGAGAGAAACCCATCCCTATGAAATATATTACAAATTTGAAGGATCTAATGATAAAATAAATAAATTATATTTCTCCCTATTAATAATTGTTTATTCTTATATATGTGATATATAATAAATGTATAAAACTATATATTTTGTGTGTCACCCACTTGTCTCTTATGTTTTTGAAAATTCTTGTGGCAACTTGTTTATATCGTGTCCATGTTGTGTCATTTATTTGTCTGGTTCTTTTTAGGCAATGAATGAAGACATGAAAGACTAACATGATATATAAGAAAAAGGATGAAAAGAATAATTTGACTTAGCTATGAATGAGGTAGATGTTATATATATATATATATATATAAAATAGATTCATGATATAATTTAGGAAACGATATAAACAAAGCACTAAATTAGTGATTGACACAATCACTAATTATATACATAATACTATAAGTGTAACAACCTCGATCCCTGATTAACGTTAATCCATGGTTAATTATGCCTAAATAGTAATTAAGGTGAAATTCTGAATTAAATTGCATGTGTGTTTTATTAATTGTGTCTATATCTGTTTAACGTAGGAAGATCTGTTCATGTTTTTCTTTCGGTTTGCAAATTGAAGGCCTTATCGGCATCCGAATCAGAAATTGACTTAATTTACGTGTTAATTAGGATTTTTAGAATTTTATGGCAGGCTTAATTAAAATTCGATTCTGAACGATTAAATTAGAATAATTAATGCCCAATTAAGCCTAACTAATGATATTTTGATCTAAGCCTATATAAAGCACCTTTTTAATTCCTCACTCACTCTTTTCTTCATCTTACATGCATCTTTGAGCTCTCTAAGACCCAAAAATGTGAGAGGGAGAGAGAGAGAGTAGGAGGATTTAGTTCTAAGTTTGAGAATTTGGTGAGACATGAGCTCAATTAAATGGAATTGTTGTCATTTGAAGAGGATTTGAGAGTTTCAACTTCAACACTAGTGAATTCAAGTCTCTAGATAAAAAATCAAACTCTTAGTTGTGTAATTGAGTTAAACCTTACAAGATTTCAAGCAAATTAGATAAGTTTATGTAGGATTTGAGTTGGTGTTGGAGAGAATTGGGCCATACCATGCATGCATGTCCATTTCTTCACAAAATGAGCTTGATTTCAAAGAATTCTTCTATGCATGTGTTCGTCTCATCTATGTTTTAAGAATTCGTCATGTTTTCTACCAAATTGCCAAATTTGATCATGTTTTGAAGTGTTTGAGTTCAAGAGAATTTATGCATGTTATGCTTTTGAAACATTCATAAGTTTGAGTAAAATTTTTGTACAATTGGCATGTCATTGGGCCATGATTTCTTAAAATGATCCTTAAAACATGTTGTTTTATGAGTTTTTATGAGTTTTCTAAAGTTTTGGCCCCAAAATGTTAAGTTTGAGGTGTTTGGGTTTGAGCTTGAAACTTGGAGATCAAATTTGGAAATTTCAGATTTTGCATCCATGCTCGAGCGTGGGAGTTCACACTCGAGCGAGCACTCTGAGTGTGTGCACTTTCGCTCAAGCAACCGGAAGCTCGCTCGAGCGTGAAATGCATGTACCCAGAAGTTCTTATGTTTTGCAGCACGCTTGAGCGAGGAGATCCATGCTCGAGCGAGGGTCTGAGTCTCACGCTCGAGCGGGGATCGAGCATCTGTTGAGCATGAAAAACATGCAACCAATACTTTTTCCAAAGTTTACAGTCCGCCCGAGCGAGGTAAGTCACGCTCGAACGAACCTTCACATTTCGCATGTCCGCTCGAGCGAGAAAAGGCACGCTCAAGCGTGGACCTTGTTTTCAGCAAGTTTTGAAAAATGTTTTCCAGTGCATTTTTGCATCCTCATTTCATCCTAGGCATCCCCAGGCCATGATTAAGACTCCATAATGAGGTTAAGGCTAGAAACACACCAAGAACAAATTAAGTAAGTTATGTGTAATTCGAACGTGTGTTTCAGATGTGTGTTTGTTATGTGTTATTGCAGGTCACGTACCGTAGACCGTTTGATTAGTCTGCTCTGTCTGTCTGCACTCGAAGCCAACTGTGAGTAATAACATAGTAAAGCTCTGTTCAACTTTATTTATTTTCTGTATGATGAAATGAGATTTGTTTTCTGAAATGCTATGTTCTGTATAATGAATGATTGTCCAATTTCTGACATGCATTCGTGGCATCTTTAGCAACATGTGATATCTGTTAGCTGTTACCCGGTATCCGAGGTCCCATTATGGGACTTATTATGTCTGTCATTTGTTACCCGTACCGGAGGCTTTTTCATAAAGCTCAGCATGTTTATTCTCTGTTACCCGGATCCGGAGGTTCCTTTATGAAACTGGTTATTCATAACCGTCATATGTTCTGCATCTGTTCTGTTAGCGCTAATGGATGTACCACGTATGATTAAGCATGAATTTTGATTTCTGTATATCATCTGAACAAGAATACGAATATGAATATGAATTATGATTTCTGAATCTGTATAGGCTTCATTCATTAAACCCTTTACTCCGTTATTATTCACTAGGCTTCCGCTTACTATTTATATTATGTATGTAGGTGGGCAAGCACATGACCAGGCCTAAAGTTGACGGCCTATGTTTCGGTTTTGTCAGCCAACCTTTGCACCTCCCGAAGAGATTCCGGATGAAGTTAAGCTTTGTGGCTGTTTTTGTAATCATGTTAGACTATGATTGTGTGTTAAGATGTGGGCGAGACTTTTGGCTTGCACGCCTAAGTGTGATATGTAAATATTATGTCTTTTGACTTCGCTTAAGTCTATAAAAGCTCTAAACTCTTCTATCCCATGTATGTCATTACAGCTCATTGGACCTCGTATATTTTGTATATTTGCTTCTGCAGCCCATATCTATATGTTAATCTGTCAAGAGACCTTTGGTAATCCAAGGATTACTGGCCAGTTACTATGCTAAACCTATAGGGGCGGGTTTAGGTCATGACAATAAGATAAAAAGATTATATATATTCTAATTTCTATATTCAACACTCTCCTCAAGCTGGTGTGAAGATATTAAACAAACGTAGCTTGCCAATAGATGACTAGAGCAATATCGGTCCTACAGACTTTGTAAGCATATTTGCTAACTGTTGAGAGCGAGAGACAAAGGATGGACTCACAATATCAGTTCAAACCTTTTCTCCATTGAAATGAATATCAACCTCTGTATGCTTAGTACACTCATGAAAGACAGAACAACATAATAGCAGACTTGTTACAAATCAAGGAGGCAGGACCAGTCTCTTCAAAATCCAACTCTACTAGGATAGAACGAAGCCATAGAATCTCACATCACATGTTCCCTGTGCCATAGCTCGATACTTGGCTTCTACAGAAGATCTAGAAACAACTCCATGCTTCTTACTCTTCCATGATATAAGATAATCACCATAGAAAGTAGAGAAACCATAAGTAAAATGCCGATTAGTTCTAGATCCTGCATAGTCAGCATCAGTGAAACAAGAGAGCCTAGGTTGCAGATCAACTGTGAAGAATAATCCCCAAACCAAAAGAGGTCTTTAAATATCTCAAGATGTCATGAACAACATCAAGGTATTCTGTACAAGGTACATGCATAAACTAATTCACAATACTAACCGCAAATGTCAAGTCAAGTTTAGTGTTGGTCAAGTAAATGAGATGCCCAACAAGCCTCTGATACATGCCTGGATCCTCTAATAACAGCTCGCTAGATTCTGATGTGAGCTTGACATTAGAATTCATAAAGTAGATTTACACTCTAACATACTAGTATCTTAAAGTAGGTCAAGAGCGTACTTTCTTTAAGACAAGGAAATCTCTTACTGTGAGTGAGCCACCTCAATCCTTAGAAAATACTTGAGATTCCCCAAATCCGTAATATCAAAGGTTTGTCCCAAATCCCATTTTACTTGACCAATGCTTACATAATCATCATCAGTGAGAATAACACCATCCATATAAACCAACAAGATTATACACTGACATGTTGGATTATGATGGATGAAACAAGTATGGTCTAAGTGGCATTAAACAAACCCCATAGAGAGGATGACAAAACTGAAATGACCAAACCAAGCTTCTGGAGACTGTTTCAAGCCATATAAAAATTTACGCAATTGACACATTTTTCCCAAATTCTCCCCCTCAGCCAGAAAACCAGGAGGAAGAGCCATATAAATTGTCTCAAGAAGATCCCCATATAGAAAGACATTCTTGACATCAAACTGATGAAGAGGCCAAGAATGAGATACAACAAGAGAGATAAGAAGATGAACAGAGGTAAGCTTAGCCACAAGGGCAAACATAGCCCCAAAATCCTTGCCAAGCTCGAACTACCCTAAAAGGGTTGCTAAACTGTTCTAGACCAGCAAGAAGGCTGGTTGGCAACTAGAAAGGCCTCGACAATGGCTATAGAAGACTATCGAGGGGAAGAGGGTGGAGAACAAGGACTTTAGGGGGCTGGGTAGGGATTGGGTAAGGCTTTCGAGTGGAGAAGAAGGACTAGGAAGGGTTGTTGGGTGTCTGAAAAGGGCATGAGTGGTCTGTCGGTGGCTAGGGAGGAGAAACGAGCAGCCAATGGTGATGGGTTGTAGAGAGAAAGGCGACTAGGGTTGGCTCTAATACCAAAAAAGATGAAAAGAATGATTTGGCTTACCTATGAATGATGTAAAAGTCATATATATATAATAGATTCATGATACAATTTAAGAAACGATATAAATAAGGCAATAAATCAGTGATTGACACCCTCGTTTGGGAATAGGCTAATTTAGTAACTTTTTGGCTATTTGGCTAAAATATGAGCTAAAAAAAACTAGTATGTTTGGGATAACTTTTTGACTTTTTACGAAAAGATGTGCAAAAAGTAGAGAGAAAATAGAATATTTGGCTTTTTGGTATGGGTTGTTGGCTTTTTGATTTTTTTAGTGACTTTTTGACTTTTTGGATAAAAAAGTCACTTGTCAAACGATTTATATATATAATACTAAAAAATAAAAAGATTCTATATACTCTAATTCTTATATCCAGCATAAGATAACCGACATTCCTAGCAATGGGAATCATAAGAATGTTATTCTCAATAAAGCATATTTTTATGAAATATTGTACTTATGGAACTCATTGTTCCATGGAATGAAAATCGAATATGAAATGGAAAGTGTGAGGAGGATATGAACAACACCTAAGTAACAAAAAAACTATGGTTGGATGATAGTAGGCACCATGTGCTGATATATTGTCTGATTCATTTGGATACCTTCTGAACTTTTGGTCAATCCACTTTCATGTTCTCTAGGCTACTGTTGTGCAATGCATGCAGCATAGATTTTTAACCGAAACAACCAAGACCAATGAAGCTCAATGTGACAGAATCTGAGGTTTGAGCGAAGCAGTATGGCCAGTTTGGATTGATCATGATGTTTGTTAGCATAATAGCAGATCTAAATGCAGAGAATGAGACAGATTATGACAACTCAAGTATTTGTCAGTTACCAATGGGTTTTAGAAGATTCAAGTGGTTAATACTGGAAGATGAGTTGTTTGCTACACGACATGGATGATTTCCAAATACCTTGTCAGACATGACATATCATCAGCGTTGGTACAAGATGAACACGTTGTGGACCTACACCTTGGACAAGTGCACATCGTTTATTGGCATGTCTAAGAAGGAAGAAGGTGTATTATTACTCTTTATTAGAAGTTTTCCATGATTCTAACACTATGATCTGAAAATTTAGTATTGATCAAATAGACGAATGGACTGTCAAATCAAGAAAGATAGAATCTCGAAGCCACAAGTACAAGAAAATCTTAGTAGTATTGATTAATAAACAGTACCATTTTGCCTTTAGGCCTGGCTTGCATGTGTTTATAATAATCAATTAAGGAAAATTAATCAACACAAATTTGGAAACCTTTCTAGCACTATATGGAATAAATCTCGCATCTACGGGTTGACCCAACATATGACATGTCAACCAAACACTTACCAAAGATTTGAACGTTGAGGGATCGGTCCAAGAAATGGCTGGTCGACCCAACGATGGGTATAGATACATTCCTTGCTACTTCAAAATATATAACTTCAGACATTTGTACTTTGGTTTGATGCTGAGGCTAATTGTAAGCCAACCGAGATCTATCATCAAGCACTATAACTAGGAATTCTAGGCTATTCCATTCTAAATCACTAGACTCCTAATAAAACGCTAATTCCAAAATAGTAGAGGTAAAAATTTAAGAATTCCTAAAATCTTGTCCTACATCAATTCTTTTCCAATCAAAACTAATAAATATCAACAGTTAGGCTTCAAAAAAATTCCCAGAATAAGATTTCACAGAACAATAAATCATGGACAATTACAGACAGTGAGAATTTACAAGATGGGACAATGTGATAAGCTGATCAAGAAGTTGATCTTAGTTAAGTACATTGATCATAAAAAGATTACAGATCTCTTCTGCTTGTTACATTCTATTGCAGTGCACTTTCATAGACCGGCAATTACAGTTACTTTCTTCACGTAATCTTACAAAGATATATACATGCAAGGGGGGAGAACTGCAAAAATACAAAGGAACAGAGCAGAAATACTAACGAAGTGGTCAAAAAAGGAAACATCATACATGCCTTGTTAACCTCAAATTGCATAGAGTTTCTTATAGTCATTGCTCAGAATTTCTGTATCTGACATTGCTGACATGGACAATGATAGTGATCTGCTACTCCTGGATGATCTGTGGATGCTCCTCAAATTGGAAGCCTCAATTCGGTGCATAATCACCCAATAACACATTGTTCCCAATGTCGTTGACATGATAACTGTACCAATAACTGTCACTCCAATTGCCAACCACCTCTCGTTTCCTACAACAATGAAAGACAGGGAAAGAAAAGCCGCTGACAAGAGCACGCAAGCCAACCACATGAGCTTGTTAATGACAGACATCATTTGCTTCTTTGCCTTCCTGTCTACAACTACAACTGATGTTTGAAAGACTACAACAGCCAATGATATGAAGAGCGCAAGCGAGTCAAATATGAAAAAAAGAATGAACGGGGCTTTTGGAGCAACATTTGCTTCTCCTAGAGAGAATCCAGGAGGAAGATTTGTGGGGTCGCTGGCATACTGGCCAGGGACAACAAAAATAGCAGCGAAGGCAACAGAAGCAATGAGAACAGCAACAACTGTGGTGGAGTTGATGGCATTGTTAAGCCCTTCCGCTTGCATTTTGTTAAGCCTCTTGGCTATACCTTGTACACCCCTTCGTGCTTGGCGTGTGTGCTTAAGCTGGTCGTGTACCTCGTGTTTGATCTCACTTACAGTTTGCTTTAATTCCCTGGCTGTATTTGTTGTAGGTGTGGACTTCATGGATTTTGCATTCAGGACTCCATGTTCCTGTAGGATAATTGCAATCTCTGAGTGCCCCATTTTCTCAGCAATGTCAAGAGTGGTTTCTCCTGATCTGTTGATGGCTTGTTTATCGATTCCCTTGCGGTTCAGTAGTGCCTGAACAATCTGCAGAATAGCACGAGGATAACCACAACGAGTTCCAACTTTATAAAGCGATTGAATCTTTTTAAGCATCTCTAGTTCTTCAGCTATTGCCATGAGGTTGGGCTTATGACAAGCACATTTCACTCCATTACACTCCAAATTGGAATAATGGATTCGTTGGAAATGCTGGAGTTCCCTGATCCTTCAAGTTTGCTTAGATGCAGAGTTCATATCAGATTTTTTATGGACACTGAAGTACAAGAAACTATAGTATTAAAGTATAGATTTTGTTTGAAGCCACTTCCAAAAATTTAAGAGAATAGGTCATTATCTTATTGTTATTTCTTATTTATGATTGAAGAGATTTTATTGTCTTATTTAGTATTTAATTAAGGTAGTTTTTGTTTGAATTGGCCGTTATGTGTTAGGTTTATTGAGGATAAAAAATAAGTATCGAGAATTTCTTTTCTATTAGGGTTGAGATTTATTTTATTTGAACGGAGTGTTCCTTTTCTGTTACATTATTTCTGTTCTCTGGCATTCCTTCGTCATTAACATTTATCTAAACAGAATTCTCTGAATAACCATAACATAAACCCAAGATTAATTTCTCTAAAGGCATCTCCAAAAGTGTTTATAAAAAACCCTTTTTAGTCTTTAGAGCAAATGTGTGATGCTTTTCTACTGGGTATTTTATTTATAGTGGTATTATATGGATTTTTCAGCATTCAAAGGCCAAAACTGAGTTATTTACCTGTGCACGACCCTTTCGGGTTGCTATATGCAGTGGAGTGTTGCCTTTGCTGTCAAACATCGTTATCAAATCAGCATTGAACTCAATAAGCTCATCAACCACCTTAACACTCTGTCCCTTAACCGCCATGTGAAGAGCCATCTGCCCCTTCTTATCATTCCTCAATGCAATTCCTGGTTCTTTTCTCAATAGGGCCTTTACAACCTCCAAATGCCCATTTCTTGCTGAAGAATGCAAGGCAGTTTTGCCGTTGCTTCTTGTAATGGTGGCCAGGCTACTGTTTTTTTCTAACAAGAAATTGACCACCTCGATATGGCCTTGTGCTGCAGCACTGTGCAATGCCGTGGTGTTTGATTGATCAAATGTCATTGAAAGATCATGATGGGTCTCCATGAGGACTTTCAATATCTCTGCAACATGTTAAGATAATAAATTTATGAGAACATTTAAACCCTGATAATGATTTATATATCAGCAATGAATGATATGTCAAAACACAGAAGCAAGTGAAATGATAAAATTAGGCAAAACTCAAACAGTTATATGTTACCTGGAACATGGATCGTTCCGGTTTGTGCAACAAGAACAGGAATGTGGTTCACTACATGCTCTAAAATGTAGCAACACTTTTATATGAGCATTATGACCCATTTTGACCTTTTTCTAGTCAAAACTTAACCCACCTTACATTTTAGCTCATTATATTTGATTTTTATTTGTAAGAATCTTTAAGAAATTATATTGGAAACAAGTTTTGAGATCACTTTGGATCACTAAAATTATTGTATTTATTGTTTTGGAACGTTAGTGTACCATGCTTCGGTACATGCGTTCAAAAATGGAATTCATTAGGATATTAGCATTTCCTAGTAGCACTCGTACTTACACCGATTTTTGTAAATATTGTCACAACAAGCAATCACCAACCATCCTACTTATTCCCAAATGTTTTATGCATTGAATTACATGCAAAATAAGATTGAATTAAATTTCTTCAAATTAAAAATAAAAATAAAAAAGGCAACCAAGTGCATGAGGCTTAGTGGGGTCTAGAAAAGACAAGATGTATGCAGTCTAACACTCATTTCTCCAAATAAAAGAGTGAAATTTCTCTAATTTCTTCAGAATGCCATGGAACATGTTTAAACAATGTTGAAATTTGACAAAACAAAGATATCACAAATGATGGGAAAACATTGACATTCTTTATAATTTATACTTACCCAAGTCTCCTTGCTTGGCAGCAATGTGGAAAGCATCATACCCATTTTTAGCTTTGATACCAGCAGATGCAATATCATAATATTTCATCATCTCCTTCACCAAATCAACATAACCATATTCAGCAGCAACATAAAGGGCCGTTTCACCGGATTGATTCTGCTCGGACAACAACTCCTTCAACTCTTCATCTCCATTTATAGTGAGTAATTCCAAAACCACCTCCAAATTCCCTGCTCTTGCAGCCGAATGCAAAGTCTTGTCGCCTCGTTTCCCTGTTAACTGCTTCGTCATCTTCTTCCTCCGGAAGCTCTGTTGCCTCGATGGACCCTCCATGAAACTCAATTTCACCAAAAAAAATCCCCTTCTATATCAATGGTAAACCTAGATCAAAATTCACTCATTACACCTCTTAAGTATCAATTTGTGTATCAATTGAGAGAAGATGGTTGAGATGTAACTATCTTCAAGAGAAACATAAGAGTTTGATTTCTGATACCCAAATGTCAAATTTTGACATTATAAGCATACAAAATGTATATTGCCTTCACATTAACACCAAAAATCGATTCTCTACTATTCAGTCTACACTTCTTCAATCATTAACTGCAAAACTTTCAACCCAAAAAAAGTGGAAAAATGGAAAGTGTTTTTAGTGTTTCAAACTTGGAAGTTTGAACTATATCGCGTTCAAACAAATTGGAACTATATAGTACTATTGAAGAAAAGAATAAAGAAAAGGGTAAATGTGTATCATCGCTAAGATCAAAAGTCAACAACAAAGAAAAAAAGATATGAGAAATTTATATATATATATTCACCTGGGTTTTGAAGATCAGTAGCTTTTCAATCACTCAATCCACAGTTGAATAAGTAGATATGATAAGCATATGAGAAACATGAGGGTTTGATTTCTGATACCCAAATGTCAAATTCTGACATCACAAGCATACAAATGTATATTCAGTCTACAGTACTCAATCATTATCTCCATGGAAAAAAATGGACCAAAAGACAAAACTGCAAAATTTTCAACCAAAAACAAAACGCGTAAAAACATGGAAACTACATAAAATAAACCTAATAAAGAAAAAAAAAAGAATAGCAAAAAGGGAAAATGGGTATCATCCATAAGATCAAAACTCAACAGTAAAGCATGTCAAAATTCATGAGCAGTTTATGTATATTCACCTGGGTTTTGAAGATCAGTAATCCTTCTCAGTACCGTTCTTTGTAGCTACCATATATATTGGAGAGGACAACAACATAGGAATCAAACTCAGAAAGTGCAGAGTAATCTGCAGCAGAGCACAAAAGTGAGAAACAAAATTTTGTTTCTAAAAAGTCGTGGGTGGGGTGTTCAAGCAGTGAATTATCGTTAGAAAGTCAGTCAAGAAAAAAGGGTTTCGTCCAGGACCTCTACCACCTCTTTTGATAAAAACAAAATTAGATTCCAAAAGTTGGGTGATTGCCAATATATAGCAAAATTTATTAAAATGTGATGGGCTTCAAATTATAATACGAGGAGTTGTTTGGGATGCCTTAAATAAGTGTATTTTTTATCTTTTTATGAAAATATATTCAAAAAAATAGAGAAGTGATTTGATAAAAAAATAAAAAGATAAATTATTTAGAACTTTTCAAACTTGGCTTAAATATATTGTGTCATAATTTTAATAACTTGAAAAGAAACCATAAATTATAACTTAAAATTATAATTAATTTTACTTAAATTGTAACTCTGCATATTGTATCATAGTTAAAATGAATGCGAATCATGCACACTTTTCTAAAAACATTAGTAAAAGTATTGTGAAGTATATGATATGATAATTAGTATTATGTGACTTGCCTTCAATCAAAGTCACCCAAAAAAATAGTTTTTTACATATATATATTTTCTCTTTGAGATCTACGAAATGAATGGTATAGCGTATCTATACTATATATTAAGCAAAATGAGATTTTTAACCCCCAAGGCCTGTGGGAGCTCCAATATGCCAATTCTAATTTTCTAATTTTTTGTTTTTTAAAAAAAATTTAACCTCAGCATTTATTAACTTCTCTCAACCCACAAGACTTTTTGACTTCTCTGCAGTACCTTTTTCAAAACAAATAATTTGTATATTAAAAAAAATTTAAAATAAATATAAATATAAATATCTATATCTATCTATTTATTTATGTCTATCTCTAACCCACAAGTTTAATGGGAGTTCCAATATCTAAACCTTAATTTCTTAATTTTTTTGATTGTTTTTGAAAAAAAAAACCTTAACATTTATTAAATTCTTCCAAGTGTTTTTAACTTCTCTAATACACACACTTTTTTTAACTTTTCCCATACTTTTGCAAATAGTGAGTCTCCTTTTTATTTTTTTCTTCTTGACTTCTCACTTCTATACTTTCAACTTCAGTGACCACGTATGCAAACAGTAAATCTTCTTTTTATTTTCTCCTTCTTGACTTTTCCTTTTGTTTACTGTTTTAATATTGTAGTCAGATAGCGCATAAAAATATTTGTGATTTGTCTAGCGAATAAAAAATTATAATTTGATTTTTTAATATGATTGAAATTAGATAAATATAAACCCTCACAAAAAGTACCGTTGGCTTTGACTGCCTGAACGGCGTGGTCATTCTTTTGCATTGGAACCTAACTTGATGTGGCTATAGATAGTTACAAATTAAAATGGGTCTCAACATGACAAATGAAAGAGACCAAAACATGGTGATTGCCACAAGTCAAAAAGTCTGACTCCATAAACCCATTATTTGGATTGGTTCAAGTTTGATTATCTAAGCTTTGATCCAGAAATGAGAATCTTAGTTGGACAAATATCATTGTTAGACAATGAGACAGATGTCTAATAAGCTAAACAATACTGGCCTAGAGAGAGAACCCATCAGATTGATTTTTATATATGAGTCTTTTCAAAAGGAAGCCACATGCTATTCTATCATCGCCTAAAGACACATATATATATATATATATATATATTTAAAATAAGGTATCTGAATCACTTTAAGCACAGAGTGAGTTCTGACTTTTTGAAAACTCAAAGTAAACTTATAAAATACACTACCTCAAAATAAGAGCATTAACGACGATTTTTTTAACAGTAATTTTTATTATTGTCGTTAAAGATATTATTAACGGCAGTAATGAAACCGCCGTTAATATATCTTTAACGGCAGTTTTGTTACCGTCGTTAAAAAAATACCGCTAAAGTATCTTTAACAGCGGTAATGAAACCGCCGTTAAAAAAACTGCCACTAAAGCCTTCTTTTAACGGCGGTAACGAAACCGCCACTAAAGCCCTCTCATTACCGCCGTTAATGACGGCAGTCTTTGCCGGCGGAACTACAGCATCTTGTGACCACGCGCGGCCAGAGGTTGAATATGACCATCTACAATAAAGCAAAAGTAATGTTTAAATATTTATTTAGAGAATATATTTCATATAAAGTGGCTGTGGTGTAGTGGTTGGTGTGCATTGATTAAAGGTCACAGGTTTAAAACTTAAGGGGTGCAAGAAGAGAGAATTATTTTTTTTAAAATTTGAACCTATTTACAGCGGTAAAGAACCGCCGTTTTTGGTCCTATGTTATTACCGTTTTTGATCGACTTTTAACAACGGTAATTTACCCTTTTACGACGGTTATACCTTTTCCGACACGCGTATAAACGGCGGTCCTAAATTACCGCCGTTAAAGGCTTTAACGGCGGTTTCATATCCTTTAACGACGGCAAAAAACCGCCGCTATAGCCCAATTTTGGCGTAGTGATTGTAGTTAGACAACGGTTCATTTATTTATTTATTTTATTATGGAAAAAATGTGATTTAATTGTAGTTTATTCAATTGTTCTTTTTTTTAATGTGATTTAATCCTTTATTTACTGTTTTAATGATTTTTTTTTACAATTATTTATGAAAAAAATATGATTGTAGTTAGATAGTATAAAAATATTTGTGATTTGATTTGATTTTTAAAGTACCAATTATTGATAATGATTAGATTGTATTTTGAAAAAAAAATTGTAATTGATTTTTTTAGCTCACTGTGTTTTTTGAAAAAAAATTATTGTGTTTTTTTAACTATCAATTCACTTAATTTGTGATTTGATTTTTAAAAAATAAAATGGATTGTACTCATTAGGGTCACATAATGTACCAATTATTGATGATGATTAGATTGTATTTTCACCAAAAAAAAATTGTAATTGATCTTTTTAATTCACTATGTTTTTTGAAAAATAAATTATTGTGTTTTTTAATTATCAATTGACTTAATTTGTAATTGATTTTTTTAATTATTGATAATGATTAGATAGCATTAAAAAAATTGTGATTTGCATGATTGAAGCTATCTCCTTTTGTTTTTAATTTGATTTTTTAATATAATTGAAGTTAGATAAACATAAATACTCATAAAAAAATGTGATTGTAATTTGTTCAATGATTCTGAATAATCTTTTTTATTTACTATTTTAATGGTTATTTTTTTCAATTATTATTTTTTATTATGAGAAAAATGTTATTGTAGTTAGATAGCATTTAAAAACATGTGATTTGTATGATTGAAGTTATCTCATTTTGTTTATAATTTGATTTTTCAATATGATTGAAATTAGATAAATATAAACACTCATAAAAAGAAAAATGTGATTGTAGTTTGTTCAATACTTCTAAATAATTTTTTTATTTACTATTTTAATGGTTCTTTTTTTTCAATTATTTTTTTATTATGAGAAAAATATGATTGTAGTTAGATAACATTAAAAAAATTGTGATTTGTATGATTGAAGTTATCTCTTTTTGTTTATAATTTGATTTTTTAATACGATGGAAGTAAGATAAACATAAACACTCATAAAAAAAAATGTGATTGTAATTTGTTTAATGGTTCTAAATATTCTTTTTATTTACTATTTCAATGGTTTTTTTTTAAAAATGTGATTTAATCATTTTATTTACTGTTTTAATGGTTCTTCTTTACAATTATTTTTTTTATTATGAAAAAAATATGATTGTAGTTAGATAGTATAAAAATATTTGTGATTTTTATGATTGAAGTTATCTCCTTTTTTTATTTCTATTTGGTCTAGCCAAAAAAAATTATAATTTGATTTTTTAATATGATTTGAGTTAGATAAACATAAATACTCACAAAGAGAAAAATGTAATTGTAGTTAGTTCAACGGTTCTTTTTTTTTTTAGTGTCATTGTAATTAGTTTAATGGTTCTTTTTTTTTTCATTTATTTATTTTTATTATGGGAAAAATGTGATGTGATAGTAGTTTGTTCAACGGTTCTTTTTTTTTTTTTATAATGTAATTGTAGTTAGTTTAATAGTTCTTTTTTTTCATTTATTTATTTTTATTATGAGAAAAATGTAATGTGATTGCAGTTAAAAAATCAAATCATGCAAATCACAAATATTTGTGAAGTCAGATAAACATAAACACTCACAAAGAGAAAAATGTGATTGTAATTAGTTCAATGATTTTTTTTTTAATGTGATTGTATTGTAATTAGTTTAATGGTTATTTTTTTCATTTATTTTTATATTATGGGAAAAATGTGATGTAATTGTAGTTTGTTCAATGATTTTTTTTAAAATGTGATTTAATCTTTTTATTTTCTATAGTTAGATAGCATGAAAATATTTGTGATTTATATGATTAAAGTTATCTCCTTTTGTGTTTTTTATTTGGTCTAACCAAAAAAAAATTATAATTTGATTTTTTAATATGATCGAAATTAGATAAACATAAACACTCACAAAGAAAAAAATGTGATTATAATTAGTTCAATAGTTCTTTTTGTTTTTAATGTGATTGTAATTAATTTAATGTTTTTTTTTCATTTATTGATTTTTTATTATGGGAAAAATGTGATGTGATTGTAGTTTATTCAACGGTTCTTTTTTTTTATGTGATTGTAGTTAGTTCAATGATTCTTTTTTTAATTTTTTTTATAATCACATTAAAAAAAAGACAGCATTTATTAATTTCTCTCAACCCACAAGACTTTTTAACTTCTCTCATAATTACTGCAGTATCTTTTCCAAAACAAATAATCTATCTATCTATACTATACATTAAGCAAAAATGGGTTTTTAACCCACAAGGTCTGTGGGAGCTCAAATATCCTAATCTGAATTTTCTAAATTTTTTACTTTTTAAAAAAAAAAACTCAGCATTTATTGATTTGGTCAAAATCCTCTGATCAGCATTTATTAACTTTTTTCAATCCACATGTCATTCTATGTGCCTGCATTTATTGATTTGGTTAAAATCTCCTGATCAACATTTAAAATCCCCTCATACAAATAATTATAGATACAACTCGTGCATAGTTATTGCAGTACCCTTTTTAACTTCTCTCATACACTATGGTTAGTGATAAAATTGTTAAATTATTTTTATAAAAAATCTTTAAAAA